AATGCTGACAGCAAAAGGGGCTTTAGGACCACCAGTGCAGAGGTGCCTGGAGACCTACAGGGCTGGTTTTGAGGAAGACCCATACCTGTGCCCAGTTCTTAATACAGAGATGCACGAAGTGCAGAGCACAGACACAACAACCCATGTGTGCACCCCATGGATCAGGGTCCAACACAGTGCTTCTCATGGCTGGGCACTTTCTGATGCGAGAGAGAAAGACACAACCATAAGCATCATGAGCACACAGCTGTCAGGTTGGAAAGAAAATGCTTGGCACAGCAGCTCCAAGAACTGCAGCCGTAAGCAGAACGAGCGCAGGCTGGCACAGCCACTCTGTGTACCCACCGTGTCACCCACAGCCTTGGCTCGCTGCGAAGTGACACCCTTCAGGAGCCAAAGAGGACCTCCGGGCAAAGCAGACAAAGTTTTCAACTGCACAGCAGGATGCTGCTGCAGAAGTGGCTTCTGTCACAAATCCTGGGAGATTCCAGCAATGCTGCCATATGAAACAGCAGCACAACGTGCTGTAGATGCACTGTCTGTGATTGCAAGGCTGCCACATCTGCCACGTCACCCTGTGGCTATCCAGGCTATCGATGTGGGAGCTCAAATCACTCCAGCCATGCAGTCCATTAAAAAGGTGTCTGGCAACAGCACGTAGCTCTGCAGGTACTGGCAGGAGACAAGCTGCAGTTTGTTCTAAGATATCTTGTTGGAAGGTAGCATGTCTGAGAAGCTTGAAGCCTGACTGCTTAACAACAGCACTGAATTTTGGGACATTTTTGCAGCTTCTTAGAATGACAGTAAACAGGACACTTTTTCCAGCTAGCTTTTGCCACTCACATGAAAACAGCCAACACTGCTGGGGCTTACAAATTGTAGTCAGCTCCTGGTCTTCCACTGCTTAGCTTGAGACATATTGCTTATTAGCTGATTTTAGACAACTCCAAGGCCTTCAGTTCCTCAGTTCTATTAACCCCCTCCACTCCCCTGTGACAAGGGCTGAGTTGTGTCACCCTGATAGAGCAGCTTCCCAGAGAAGTTTAATGTTGACCAGGTTGATTCTATGATTCTATGATTCTATGTCCTCAGTGGCTGATGGAAATATATTACTTAGCACACTGACATGGCATGTCATAGAATCATAGAATCACAGAGTCATAGAATGGTTTGGATTGAAAGGGACCTTAAAGATCATCTAGTTCAACCCCCCTGCTGTGGGCAGGGACACTTCCCACTGGACTGGCTTTCTCAGAGCTCCATCCAACCTGGTCTTGAACACTTCCAGGGATGGGATATCCACAGCTTCTCTGGGCAGTGCCACGTGGTGTTACCAATTCTGGGCAGGTGCTGGCTACATGGCCTGTGCCTACATGTGCCAGAAAGAGATTTATGGCATATGAAAATAGGAAACAAGAATGAACAGAACAGAGTCCCTGGCTGAGAACTTGGACACAAAGCAGAAGATGAAGGAGCTGTCAAAAGAAGTCATCCTTAATCGGTGCTGTAGTAGCAATGCCTGTGAGGAGCTACTGTATATTTGGAAAGAAGGTGTTTTGTGACATGAGGACATGTTGGATACTTAGCACTTCTCATGCCCTGTACACACCCTGGATTTGATTCAGGCTGTCAGAATCCTTCAGGGAACTCACAGTCCACAAGTGGAATATATAGTATCCAGCTAGTCTGCAGCATGCATCCAGCAGGGCTGGGCAGCTGCAGGTGCAGGAGACACTGCTGTGCTGTTTGTAGCACAGCAGTTCGGTGTGTCACAGTTGGCTGAGAGGCGCTTGTGTCTTCAGTCTCTGGAAAAGAGAAGTCATCTTTGGGGTTGGGGGATGAGAATGAGAGGAATGGCAGTTTGGACAGGACACATCAACCTGCAAGCTGTGGGGAGTCTACTCCCTACTGCTGCATCAAGCAACTATAGTGGTCAGCAAGTACAGCACAGGGGGTGATGTTAATTCCAGTATTTTCTGATTTCTAGAGGTTCATTTGGGACTTCTACACCTGATGACAGATTACAAGCTGTGCATTTTTTCCACTGAAGCAGGTTTGCACCCTTGTTTTAGCTGCCACACAACAGTTTCCTGCAGATAGTGTTCCTGAAGCAACCAGAGCTCAGTGGGCTGATGTACACAGGTGTAACCCCCAGGCCTACAGAGTGCCTGGTGCCAGCAGCAGGGAGGTGTAACAGCAGGATAACCTGCTGGAGTGGCATTTTCCATGTCACTATCTGATTGCTGTTGTCGTGCTTTAACCCCAGCCAGCTGTCAAGAACCACACAGCCGCTCACTCACTCCCCCACCCATGGGATGGGGGAGCGAATCAGAAGGGTAAAAGCTACAAAAACTCATGGGTTGAGATAAAGACAGTTTAATAGAGAAAGCAAAAGCTGCACACACAAGCAAAACAAAACAAGGAAGTAATTCGCTGCGTCCCACAGACAGGAGGTATTTAGCCATCTCCAGGAGAGCAGGGCCTATCATGCGTAACGGCCCCTTGGGAAGACAAACACCATCACTCCAGATGTCCCCCCTTCCTCCTTCTTCCTCCCACCTTATATACTGAGCATGATGTCATATGGTATGGAATATCCCTTTGGTCAGTTTGGATCACCTGTCCCAGCTGTGTCTCCTCCTAGTCTCCCATGCACCCCCAACTTCTTTGCCAGCATGGCAGTACAGAAAGCAGCAAAGGCCTTGGCCCTGTGTAAGCTCTGCTCAGCAATAACAAAACCATCTCTGCATTATCAACTCTGTGTTCTGCACAAACCCCAAACATAGCCCCATACTAGCCTCTGTGAAGACAGTTAACTCTACTTCAGCTCAAGCCAGCACAGCTGTGTAGATTCTGAGCTTTGTAAGAGCCTGCCTGATTCATGAGGGACCACCCTTCAGCAGACAAGCTCCTCTTCTGAGTTAGTCTTGTTGTCTTAAATACTTTGGCTATTTCTCTGCATTTGAAAACTGCCCTGCATATTCACCACAAACACCACCACCAGCAGTGACATCTGGAAACCTCTTGAAAACTCCAGGACCTTCCTGCTCTGCTCCTTCCTTCATCAGGTAATAGAATTACCAGAGGATCAAGGTGAATATCCACAAATCTCACCATCCTGGACACAAGACACAGACTCAATCCCCTCCCAGTTTGTTTCCCCTCTACCTTCTGCAGATGTGTGGTGTGCGGTGCAGTTCCTCAGCCCAGCATGACAAGGCTGTGACTAGAGATGGCAAACACAGGCAGGAGAGGCTGACCTTGCTGTAGCAGCATGATGTCAAGGTGGGTCTTGGCTTGACTGAGCAAAGGACAAACAGGGACTGGGTGACTGCAGAGCCAGGCATGTGGCATGATTCCTCAACATGCACACTGGCCTAGCCTGCCAAGAGAAAAGCACACACAGAGAGCACTTAATCAACGAAGAAGGAATGATGGCTGAGGTTTGTCAGATTGTGTCAGCCCTGTGAGTTTTAGTGGGGGTTTTGGAAAGAGGATGTGTGATCAGCTCAAAAAGTCATAAAGATGGAGGCTACAGAGATAAGGTGTGATTTCCAGACTCAGACAAGCAGCATCCCTAGAAAGCATGTGTTTTAAATAATTTGAAATGTAAGCAGAGATGTTAGAAAAATACTTCCAAAAACACCTGTTGTGGAAAAAGAAGCCCAAACAACAGCAATTTCAGAAAGGCAAATCCAGTAAAAAATACCTAAATCTGTTT